AGAGGAGGTATTGGGTCTTTGGTTTTGACTAAGATAGAATTTAAGTTGTTCTTGACTGAGAAGGAAATAGAAACTTTGAGGGGACGGAAGAGACGGGCTATTATTTCTGATATGGGACCAATGTATGGTAAGGAGAAATATTTCGAAGGGGAATCTTTCTCCTTACCATACATTGGTCCCATATCAGAAATAATAGCCCGTCTCTTCCGTCCCCTCAAAGTTTCTATTTCCTTCTCAGTCAAGAACAACTTAAATTCTATCTTAGTCAAAACCAAAGACCCAATACCTCCTCTATCCAAGTCTGGTGTTTATAAATTGGTTTGTTCGGATTGCCCAGCTTGTTACATTGGACAAACTGGTCGTTCCTTTAAAATTCGGTTTTCTGAACACATCACTGCTATTAAGAATAACAATATAAGCTCCGTTCAACCCAATCCCAGTTCTTCCTTCGCTCACCACATCCTTAGTTCAGGCCACTCGTTTTCGAAAGAGGACTTCAAAATTTTGCATGTTTGTAACAAAAGTCTTAAATTAGACTTTCTTGAAATGAAAGACATTTACCTCCACTATAGGACGAATCCTCAACACTCCCTTAATGAAATACTTCACTTAAATAAAAATTTGCTTTTTCTCACCAAGTAGTTTCCGACCCCGTTACGCTTGTCAGATATCCCTTCTTTTTAGTTTAAGTTTATTTTGCCCTTTTTCTGCCTTCAGCAGATCAGGGTTGTTACTTTTTGGGCGTTTATTCAGTCCGTGAGTCCCAACGACTACCTTCAGTAGAAACAGGGTATTTTGGCCCATTTAATTTAAATATTTTATAAAAACAATAGCCTAATGTAAGCTATGTTACATTCTTTTCTCCTTTTCTTATTTTTTCGTCCCATAACCAATCCGGCCCTATTTCCTTTTTAATTTTTTAAATTGTTCAAGTTTCCCGCTTTTGCCCCTTCCCTTTAGTTACTTAACCTGCCGTATTTAGTCAGCACATGTCACTTTGCTTGTCAAGATGGCTGCGTCCATCTCGTTCAATTTTAATTTAACAATTGTTTATAAAATGTGAGGGCAAAAAGCCTTAAATTTGTTAATATTGTAATTGTAATTGTTTCCATGTTCGAATAAGTAATTTTTCCCGTAAGTAGAACTATTTTCTAGACTCGCTTCTAACACATGTTTTACAGCATATTATCAACCAAATGTTACCAATTAATATGTAATTTTCAACTACTTTTATATGTTCCTTCAAACTGAAGGTAGGTCACTTAAGGTTAGTCATTGTTTCAAATTATTTAAATTATATAAATTTTCAGCTTGATAATGACCTCAGGGTCGAAACTATAGTCGCTGTGCTGTCACATAATGTCTGAATTTAAAATCTGAAACAATTAAATGAAGTATGGGGAAGGTTTAGTGCTTTTATAATTTCCACTTACGCAGTAACTGTTTTGATTCCTATGAGTTTCCTATAATCAGTGGCGTAGCGTAGCTCGTTGGCGCCCGGGGCGTGATCAAGGTTTGCCGCCCTATATTTTAGGAGCTTATGAACATGTTGAGTTCCCTATCGTTTATTTTAAAAAAAAGTTCAAATTCTTATTCTATTCTGGATAAGATAAAGGTAAAGCATCTTCAAGCCCGTCGATGGCCATAGTCGTTGCGTACGAAATCAAAATTTAGGTAAATGTATTTTCGCAATATTTTTTTATCGTTTCCTACTTTTAGCTATTTTCAAAAGTACCCCGGGATATTATTGCCAGGTATGACGCTGCCGCCCCTACTAAAGTGGCCCGCCTCTCCGCCCCTCCCCCCTACGCTACGCCACTGCCTCAGAGAGTCTCTGATGCCCTGACAGTATCCTTTTCGACTGTAGGTACCAAGAATTAGTACAAGAACGAATTACAATCGGGAAAAAGTCTGGTTCATACCACGGAGTTCCCCTTCATGATATACATGAACATTTAGCCATTGTAAAGTCTGGGGAATAAAAAAAAACCATCGACATATAGAAATGGACTGCGCGTGCCAATGCTAAGCGCGGATACTGCAGGTAAGAGAGAAGGGAAATCTATAAGGAAAGCTCTATCGCTTTTCTGTTTGTCACAATTTTGAATGCATTCAATCGACATCGCTGTGACAGTGCTATTCTTACCTTCCCCTGCAAGAAACTATAGGATCATCATCATGAATGGAGGCGAAACACGAGATGAATGTATAGTGAGTGAAAATGCCAAAATACAGAAAGAGAAGATCACTAGCTATTACACCCACATCGATGACATTAAATAAAAATTAGAAAGGAACCAACATTTGGGAGAGACAGCAACAAACCAAATATGAACCATTCACAAAAAGCCTACAAAATTCGACGGCGTTATCCGTAACAACACAACCAATTTCGAAACCAACTCTCAATGTACTGTTGACCTATATTTTTTGTCAGGGGCGTGGCAAGGTAAAATTGCGCCTAGTGCAAAGTTTGTCCGAAGCGCCTTTTTTAATAATAATAATAACAATTTTTTTAAAATTAATCTCGGAACCATCTTTTTTTCCGACAGAGGTAGCTAATAATCTTAGCAATTGATGCTTCCTCTATCGTTGATCTATATCGAGATTAATTAAAAAAAAAAGAAAACAATAATAATTGGTCTTTGCATATTTTTTATTATAAATAATACTGCACTTCTTAAATATATAAATACAGATTTTGCATACTTTTTATTTAAAATAATGTCTGACTAAATATTTATTTAAAATTTACTTCTCTAGCTTTAACTTTAGCAAATTCGTCGATCACTTTTTTGTAATTGATATTGCAACATAATTCGTTTTCAATAGAAAGCATTGCAAGTCATTTAAGCGCAGTTGAGTCATGGCTGATCGAAGAAAAGTTTTAATCAATTTTAACTTTGAGAAACTGCGTTGCCCGGTAGCAACAGGGACAGGTAATGTCAACAAAATTCGCAACGCAATTACAACATTTGGGAACACAGATTCGTAGCCACTGGTTGAAATATAATTTAGTGCTTCTAATTGACCCTCGAGCCTGTACGCTATACGGCTGTTGCTTTTATTTATTTCTCTTATTCACTATACTTATTTTATAATTATTATATTACTCATTTACGATCAATCCTGACTCAAGTGCACTTAAAATTGCAAAACAAAAACTTTGTAAAATACTTTTATATAAGTAATTTTTATTTAAAAAAATCTTAGGACTTTTGGCGCCTAGCAAAAATTGGCGCCTAAGGCACTTGCCCGGTTGCCCTACTGGATGCCACGGCCCTGTTTTTTGTCATGGACAGATTTCTTATTGCCGCAGATTGACCTATTTTCAATAGATCGACGAGAACTTCCTGAAACAATCTTAATGGCACTACAAAAATGGTAACCTTGTAGACCCTAGTGTGCTACCGGGTCAGCGATATCGCGCATTTTGAACCGTCTAACAAAGAAAACCTTTTAGTTCACGCGATCTTCCCCCATTTTCGTAAGAAGGTGGGGAATCAGATCAGAACACAACACTACACAACAGAACAGAAGATTCGGGAGTCCAGAATAATTTAACTGTAACACCAAGCCACACAAAGCAGGCCAAGAAGAATATTAAAACGAGAGGTAACTGAATCAGAAGCTCAAGTGAGCCAGAATTAACTCACATCCAGGAGCAGATTGACCACATAGCATTTATCGAATAGTCAACAATCCAAGAACCCCAAAGAAACTTTCCAACCAGCTAACCCAACAGTCAAAGAGACGAAACAGCCAAACGAAGAAGACGTCGCCGATCTCAAAGAAGATAAGTGTGAGGATTTTTTTACACCATCCAATCATCAATGGAAGTTTGGATGGGATCGATCAACCGATCAGAATAGTGTACGAAAAAGGACGAGTTGTAGGAATAAAGAAAACAACGTTTTTCCTACAATCGTTTAAGAATTAATCAAATCGCGTGCACAAAGTGATCAATTCCCGGTCAATAGATTGTAGGAAAACAATATTTCCAAACAGCTTGTTTGTTAAGAAACTTTGTATGCCACCAACGTAACCAAGTTTTTGCGCCGAGAAAAGTGTGCGAAATTAGAAGAACATTTGAAACACGAGGTAATTTTCCAATGGTTTTTTTTTCAGTAGCGTGTAGTCGTACATTTTCCAGTTTGGAACGACACTAGGACTAGGTACCGTAGACAAGATTTTGACGTATACTTTGAAATTTACAAGGTGTGTGCGAGGTGGGTGACGCGATGGTCCCTGATGAACACCAAAAAAAGCGCCGAAGAGGGTGAGGAATTTTTAGATTCATTTGTAAAACGGACACGAGAGTTGGGTCCACTACTTCACGCCAGAGACTAAGCAACAATCAAAACAATGGCGGCATTCCAGTTCTCCAAGTATCAAAAAGCTCAAGTAAACGCCGTCAGCGTAGCGGGAAAGCTGATGGCTTTGGTATTCTGGGTCAGGAAATGCGTTCTGCTGATCGACTATCTGAAATATGTACAACAAACAAACGACTGTATAAGAATTTGCACTTTTTGATTGGCGGTGCCGATTATATTACTATTGTTGACAAATTTTCATTTGTTGTTGATGCGTGGTATAAACATTACCCTTTTGAGAAGGTGTCTGATCTCAAAATAAAGTTCAAAAATTTAAGCTAATTTTTTTTTAAACTTTAGAATAGTCTACATCTAAAAACTTGACCCTACAATAAAATGGATGTTTTAATTTTTAGGTACCTACACATTGAGTAATGTATAAAATATATTGTTAGGCACTTAACTGTAGGTACCCCAGACGAGCCCAGATGCAGATCTCTGAACAAGCGAATCCTGAGATGCTGAATATGGTGCTTGAATTTAAATCATTATATCTAACGTTGATATGTATATTCTTTCTGTACGGTGTTGCCGTTATTATAGACTTATAGAGAATAGTTGCATTATTTCACGTTCATATCGTTCATCAATGTTTTTTGGTTAATAACCTCCCATTACAAAAAATACCTTGAAAACCATGGTCACCCTTATCACCTTTATGGCCTGGTTCACCTGCGTCTCCCTTAGCTCCAGGTAAGCCTGGAGGACCACGACTTACATCTCCATCCAAATCTTTTCGGTCCTACGCATACCAAACCACTTTCAGATTCACTACATGATCAGATAATTTGGAAATATAGGTATGTACTACAAATGAACAAATTTACTCCACTACATTTGAAAAATAATACATTTGTACAACGCAAATGAGTAATACACAAATACTAACAAAATGATAAAAAATAATAATGAGAAAAAGAAATACTTACGTTTAAGCAGTGTCGCACCATACACGTGCTTCTGTACTGATTTCTAATGCAGATGTGAAGAATGTTAATATGTTATTTAGCTAAATTAGTGTAGTTATACTCAGAAAATATGTTATGTATTGTATGGAAAACTCATGTGTAAAATTGGGTTACGTTTACAGTTAAATGCGGCGAGCCAGTTTGGTTGACGTCAGTAAATAGCACAAGATCTATCCCAAACACCTTATAGGAACTACCTGGATTACATTTCTTGAGTGCAGTAAAAACGCTAGTTTCCAAAACAATATGAAAGCTACAGTATTATGATGGTTCTTTTTAAATTAATATAAATTTCATCAAGTTTGTAGCTTTGTGAAATTCATAGATACATTGCGTGTAATGGCTTCTGATCCAATTACTTATTTAATCAACTATTCGCATTCAGAAAAAAGTACAATAGCACACTTAGTAGCATTGGTCCTTTTGATCGGTGTTCATTTCCGCTCTCAAAAATAAAACCTTTTAAATCGACTACTACAAAAGAAAATTAAATTGAAAATAAAAATAAATTAGTAATATATATGGTTACAAAGTAAGTTCAAAATCATAAATGCATCCAAAAAACCAAAGATAAATAAAGCAACGCAGCAGGAAGCAGATAAGCGAATGAATAGGTTTCGATTCAAAATGCCGTGCATATCACTGAATTTTCTATTCTAAGTCCCCCTAATGCAAGTAAATCCAATGAAGCAATGCAATGAAGTGGTTTGGGTTAGACGGTTATGAATATCATGAGATATTAACCGATACACTTATTGAAAAAATGTAAAAGTGTATTGGATAAGCAGTTCATGAAATCCCGAGCCGAAAGTATTTGGATGAAGATACCTTACCCGTTTTCCTCTGCGACCTCTTGCTCCTTTTTCGCCGACGGGTCCTGGAGGTCCCGTGGGGCCAGTCTCTCCTTTTTCACCTCGTAAACCATCAGGTCCTTTTATTATAATGTCTCATTATATAAAATGTGTATGTTATAAAGCAAACCAAAATCTATATTACTGTAAAAGGGGGCGACGTTGTCTTTCGAAAATGGAGTAACGCAACATCCTTCGCATTATTGCATGTATTTATTTAATTACGCATACCTGCTGGTCCTGGTGGGCCCGGTGGTCCTTCGATAATTCCAGTGGGGAATTGGTCTCCAGTTAACGTCGTCGTTAAACCTCGTTCGCCTTTGTCTCCTTTATCGCCCTGTAACATCAATGCTGATTATTATCTTAAGTTATCAAGGGCGTGCTTAGGATGTACCTACTCCCCACACAAAATGAAAAATATTAGTATGTAATAGATGAAAGTGAATTATGAAATGAAGGCAGTGATAAAAAAGGAAGGTAATTTTAAAACTAAATGAAGTAGATACCAATATCTACCCAAAGGATAGGAATAGCGCCATCCAGCAGACTGCTTTACATGGATGTGTGCTCAACTCAACATTCACAATGAAACTAGTTTAAGTAGTTCCTTGGTGACGCAAATAAAAAAAGACTTTAAATGAATACCTACTTTTGATTCTTCTCTTTTCTTCTTCTTTTCTCAGCACAAGTATTACTTTATAAATTTAAATTCTTCTTAATTCTTCATGGTACTCTAATGAAAGGTGACTTTACCGGCCGCATCGTCACTTTATCTGCTGCATTTTTGACATTTCTAATGTCTATAATGACTTCTGTCATCAATGACAGATTGATATTAATCAAAAGTTTTATATACAAATTGAAATGTTATATTAAAATACGATTTCGGGTAAAATTTAATACAAAACTCGTCAGTAAAATGACATTATTTGACTCGAAAATTAAAGCACTCGGTCCCAAAGGGCCTCGCACTTTAATATTTCCTCACCAGTAATGTGTCATTTTCCTGAATTTTATGAAAATAACTATTGTGTACCAAGGCGGGAAAGTGGATGTTTTCCGGGGCGAAGAAAGATATGGCCAGGCGAAGCTTCAAGTTTTATATGTACCGTTACTTGAATCATGTTTGTATGTTACACTGTAGAGGTGATTGTCTTTATATTATTTTATTAAGTATTTACTATGCATTCATGTAGAAGTGTATTATTATATTATGATATTCAAATGAGTGTCGTCCATAACGTTGGAATTGAAGTGCACAAAATAACGATTATCATGATATTGCTCTGTACGATTGGACTAATCGTTTCTTCCGTGAAAGAAGCGTCCCATACAGTCCGATTCTACGCTGTATATGTTAGTAGGTATAGGGTAAGTCAAGATTGTAGCTCGAGGGACCCATAGAATCATGGAAGGCACGTCTTCAGAATTCATTTAAAAAAATGAACAAGAAACTGTAGCTTTCGAAAGACTTAAATTTATCTCCAACATTAAACTTTACAACTTACTCCCAGTTAAAGTGACCTCCTTAAAAGTCACCTTTCTAAAATAAAATAATGGTAAGTATTGAAATGTTATTTATTTATTTATTTATTATTTATTTGGTATATGCCCTCAACAGGCTTACGCCCAATTACAGAGTAACCCGCATAATGCTTTTTAGAGGTGCACCTGCAGAAGGTCTTAAGTTGTTCTACTATGCGATCAAAAATTAGTTGCTGTCGAGTCACCTTTGGAATTTTTGTTTACATGGGAAATCGCATTTAACTTTAACTTCCAAAGGCGACTCGGCAGCAACTGATTTTTGATCGCCCGTTATACTACTCCGGTATTTACCTTACGAATTAGGAAAACTCCAGGAAAACCTAATTCGTAGTAGCCGGCAGAATGCTTGAAACTGGTCTAAGGAAATTCCCATCTCTGCCACAGATGGAAAATTTACCTCAACTCAGGTGCGAACATCCGACGTCTGGTTTTGTAGCCCAACGCTCTACCAGTGAACTACAAAACCTGTGTGTTATTTAAATAAAACAATTTTGTTATCTTTAAATATCATAATTGTTTCATAATTGTTATTATTAGCTGTAGGTACTTTTTTCAGCAACAACCGCACACAAGTTTGATTGTAATATGCACATTTTTTTAAGTTATTTATAGTCGTTACATTGCTTTGTTCTCTATTTCCATGAAGTATTAACATAAAAACCTGCCCACCATCATAGCATTTCTTATAACTTTTTAAGGGCAACCTTCACACACCACAATGTTAAGGAATTGAATTTGTTTTTTTTTCTTTTTTTCTGATCCGCTGATGAAATTCTTACCCTTGCTAAATTATCAGATACTACTAATGACCAAAATATGAACTATCGGGGCAATTAATAACAAACTACCAATATATTAAGGAAAGTCTTTTGGTTTAGCTCTGCAGATTTTGCATTTTGGAGTTCACACAGGTCCATTGTAAAATTTAGCGTCACTTTGCTTACTGCATTCAGTCAACGCAGTTGAATTTGTTATAAGTGTTATAACTTTAGTTGTCAATTTTGATGTAAGATTTGTGCCATAACAAAAGGTAATGCTCTTAGTTGTAATTGTGATTCTTCGATTTATAGTGAATTGTATTGCCTTTTCAGTTACTTGTAGCTTAGGGGTAGGTAACCCCTGAATTTGTTTGTTATTTGCTTGCTCCACTTTAAATGTTATTGTTATGTTGATTTGTTTGAGATTGACCAGTTAATGTTCATTTGATTATTTAAACTCATTTAGATTGATTAGCGACTTCAATTCTTTGTGTATGAATCTAGCTTTTTTTAAATGTCATTAACTGTTTCGCCCTTGCAGAGGTAAATGCCGAAGTTACAAAATTACTTAGCGGCATTCATCTTGAAATACTACTTTAGTATAAGGGTTACCGTATCCAAGACCTTAGATACGTTCGGACTGGAGGAGGTCCGATTAAATAAACATGTGTCATGTATTTGATGAAATGTTATTTTTCACAAATGCGAGTTGCTTTTAAAGCTATTTGGGTTGGCTACTTTTGAGCATATCAAATGTACTAAATTAACAGTTTTCAATTATCCAAATTTAAGAGATACTCCTTCGGATTCATTTGGAAATAATGCTTGTTTTGATCTCTTTGAACCTACTTAGTTGCTACACCTTGTATAAATATAACCATTCAACAACAACCACCAGGTAAATTCGCCTCAGGAGTATTCTCCCCCTAAAATTTTCACACGTTTTCTTGGGGAGGGGTGTTTTGTTGTGAAATGAACCTGATAAATTTTCTTGGAAAGCTAATAGGTACCTCAGAAAGGGATTTCCCTGGGATAAATATTTGGGGACCGAAGTTTACGGGGTGAACATTTCGAGATCATATTTGGCCGTTGGCGTGCTTTCTGCGAGCGATGATCCGGATCCGGATCACTGCTTTCAAGCAAAACTCGCATCCGAAATATTCCTTTTTGCAATATGAAATAAAACACAAAAATATACACAAGTTTTGAATTATGAAATCTGAAACAGTATTTCACTTTGTGGTAATTACCCCATAACAAGAAACGTAATTACTAAACAATTAGGTAGGGTCCCTGTAAATAGTTGCGCTTACGTCCATACCAGAGATAATAATATTCTGTCCTGTCAGGGCAATGCCACTCGCCATATTTGGGAGTTGTTTTTTTAGTTTCCCTTCTCCCTACATTTTTTCACCTGTGCAAAATGGATATTTGAAATACGAATGTTAAATTTCCCCTAAGAGACTGTATTAGTTAGTTTTTGTAGAAGTAAAGATCCTCGAGTTAATTAGAAACATTATTTTGTATAACTACATAGAACAGCTTGTTAGAGAAATACATTACATAGATTAAGAAGGCATCAGAAGGTACTCTAGAAAGATTCTATTCAATACACTTACTTTTAGACCTGGTTCGCCTTTTGTGCCGTTCTTACCGGGAATCCCCTATTATAAAGCGCATTATAACAAAAATAACTGTGTTATATTACTGATTGAAAATTTAGAAAATTAGATAATCTCCAAAAACAATTAAATTAGATTCTCACAGGTAAGCCCATATGTCCGGGTAATCCAGTGAAGCCTGGTGCTCCCATGAAACCATACGTCCCTTTACTTCCTTTGTTACCCTTAATTATATAGGAAAATGAAGAGTAATACGAATGATAATGAACTGTATAAAATTTGGGCCACTATGAATGCCTATAGTTACTCCTGCTCTATGGTAGTTCAACAGCATTAAACTGAAGCAGTCTCTAGGCAATCAACGTGGTCGTTAAGACAAGTAGTGCATACCTTTGGTCCGCTCACCCCATCCATTCCTGGAGGTCCTATTGGTCCAATTGGTCCCGGTTCACCGCGATCTCCAGCGGGGCCTGGCTCACCAGAAATCCCTTGCCGACCATCGTGACCTGGTAGACCTTCTGGTCCTTGAGGTCCAGCTGGCCCGGGCGGACCTGGCTCACCTGGTTCTCCCTGTAAATCAGCACATTTATTCCACTTTGCTGATACACAGTATGACTAAACCTATTACCATATTAGACATGCAAATACCCAACCGATATAATTCAAACAACCATCCATGATTATATTAACATTTAAAAACGTTTCGCAAAACAAAGAACCACAATGTTAGTACATGCGTAAGAACAAGTGATTTAAAGAATGACTTACGATATTTCAAGATGAAACAGGTGTATTTTAGAACTATAAAGCAAATGTTAATAAAAAATGAAATAGTAAATGGCGAAATAAGAAAGAAGTTGAAGTGATAAGTGGAAAGTATTATTGTTCGTAAAATTACTAAAAATGTAAACAATAACTTGTGGTAAATAAAACTCACTTTTAGTGTGATGATAGTTTCAGCAGAAATATTATGGCCATTTTCCTGTAGTCCCTATAAAAACTACTTGTGAGTACAAAAACTAGTAAGGGCAACGCATGCAATAAATTACGAAATTAAACACCCAACAGATACACAAAGATGTGCAGCCATACGTCCAGTACTATTTAGGAAAATTGATTGTAGCTCTGCATTAATTATCAAACCTTTAATAAAGCTCAGAGGTACAAACAACAAACCAAAGCCGTAAATAATCCACAACTGTCAGGCAAAATAATCTACATCAAGAATGTTAATCTGTAAAATAAACAAATCTACGGTGATGACGGTCACATAGCCTCACCTTCACCGCAACGATCTCCGCGTATCCTAAAGTACCTCCTCTTAATGTTGTTACTGATCTTTTTAATCCCTGAAATAATTAAGTTAAAATCATGTCCTAAAAATACCGGTACAATCTAGATATTAACAGAATAAAATACGTACCCGCCCTGTCTGCTATAATAATTAAAAATTAAAGAAAATTAAAAAATAATTTAAGTAATAAGTATTTTGTTTTTAAATTTAGGTTTATACACGTGCAGGTTCAAGAATTTATTTAATTTGTTTATAGTTATATTAATTAAGCTTGTTCCTGCTGCGATAAAAATAAATTGCTCTAAAACCCATTTTAGGGACAAATTAAGATGACACAATCATGACGTTGCCAGCCTTTCTTGTAAGACCAAATACATCTGAAATTCATTGAATTGAATCTGATAACAAAGTAAAAATGTACAATAAGAAATCAAATTAATTGTCAACAAGTTTTCAAAAGGTGGCGTTCATAAAAGTGACTGCGGGTAGGGTTATCTGATGAAAAACAAAAAAGGAAACGAAAAATGGGTTTTACGAAGTTAATCAACACTTAGATCTTAAAACATGCGGTAATTGAGAATGAACAACATCTATAACACCCAAATAATAGTGCTATGAAATAGTGAATATTATTGGAAAGCTTCAATTGAAACTTGTCGTTATCATAAAAATAACACTTTTTCATTGCAAATTAAATTTAAAAAATCCACATTACCTTAACAGTGGAAAAGACATCAAAACCAGGATTTCCATTATCCCCTTTTTGGCCTTTATCACCAGGTCGCCCCTGAAAGATAGTTTTCAGTATCCAAATAAGTTGTTAATCTTTATACCCACCGCGTCTCCTTTTGGTCCGTCTAAACCAATTGGGCCCTATTAAAATACAATACTTCATTATATGGTAAATATAAAAACACATGAAAATGTACATAATGGTTAGTAACGAGATGATACGGGTTAGTACATAGACAAAGCGACTAATATTAATTGGCATAAAGTCATCGATAATGTTAATTTTGTGTTAAATAGGCCACCACCAACGTTAAATAATTGTAACAAAAACAAACCGGGAATCCCGGATATCCGCGTGGCCCCGACGAACCCTGCAACAAAATATAAAAGCCACCTTTAGCCGTGTTATGCGATAAGCAATGTAACTTGTAGATAATGTAGTGGCATGAGAGGTTTGGTGCAAACCTTTTTGGTGCAAGTAAAGACGATACGATGAATAACAAATGATAGACGAGTACAAGGTTTCCAACTCATAGGCAATACAACGTACAGCATAAATAAACAAAGGTACAGCTAAGTAATAAGGAGAAGAAATAAATCATTATAAATATTAGTGGGTGTTTGCAAAATGAGCAGGCGTAGCCTACGTAGTCGTACTAGTGAAGATATAGGGGAATCCAGGGCAAAACGGGGTACTGGGGTACCGCCATTTTACATGAATTCCATTCAAATAAACCCGCCAAATCTCACACGCATTATCCCCACTACCTGTGCCACTACCAATACCCTTCCCCGCAATAGACGCAGCTCGAATTGGGCGAACGCACGATGGATGGGCGAACGTTAGTTTGACCTTGTCCGGCATAGAGTTACAGAGTTATATACACCGTATATTGTAAAAGTACACCTACACGTACCTAATATACAAATCCCATTTTGCCCTGTATTCGGGGCAAAACAGAGTCCTATTCTGATTTTAAAAAAATTAATAAAAAACTACATAAAAATTTTAAATTGGTTATTTAGTTGGTTAGAGTCTAAAGGTAATATATTTAGCTAACCAAATTCAAAATAGCAGTTAAGATAATTCGTTTTATAAAAAAATCAGGCCCTTAAAGTTAGGTACTCCGGATTCCCAGGTGTAACTTACGGAGCCGGACATTAGGGCGCCGCCGAAAGGGCGCGAGACATAAGGTCGTGCGGTCATAAAGGCCCGAGGACAAAAGGGCGCGAGACAAATGGGCGCGGGACATAAGGGCGCGGGGACATTAGGCGCGAAGCAGAGTTGTAAATATTTTTTAGAAAAAGAGTATTTTCGGTATCTAGTTACTGAAAGTATCTACGATACTTTTCTCTTGAGCCAAAAAGTAACTGTGTTTTAGATACTTTTGTAAAGTAAGTTACCCTTCTAAAGTATCTAGATACCAGGAAAAGTAACTAAGATACTTTCAGAGTATCTTAGATACTTTCCGAGTATCTTAGATACTTTAAAAGTATCTTAAACCTTCTTCGGTTTTCATTCGCCACTTTTATTGATGCAATCTAATTTCGAGGAGGGCGCATTTTTGTCGTTGGTAATAGTTATTTACGTTATAAGTCCGGTAGGTTACTTGTAATAGTAATAATAATAATAACAGTCCGGTAAGTGTTGCTTAGCGACACTTACCGGCTCTGATGCTGTACTAACTCACCTACCGGACTCAAAATGATAGTGTAATCGAACATATACCGGACAGTATGAAATAAAAATAATTAAAAATGCATCCTCCATTTTATCGCTGTCAAAAAAACACGCATCTTTAAATGGCACATTTTATATAGGAGTTAATTTATCATGCTACGAAGAATTGCGCGTTTTATGTCAGCGGAAGAGGAGACATTTGGCGTGTTCTTTTGTGAATGGCAATTTATTTAAAAATTCTAAAAGAAGGAGTTTATCTGATCGTGTTTCCCTAAATATTGGTGACAAAAAAAAACCAGGCTGCTGGAGTCGTGACGGGTGAAGAGCGTGTAAATTTTTTTGCGCTAAATTCTCGCCCCATGTGTGTTGCTGAGCAGTACGTAAATTTTATAATAAATTTGTGCAGAATCAAATTAACCAAAGTGGTGTAAGACTGTTGCTTAGGTTCTCTTCTTATTGAAAGTTAAAAGTTTCTACTGTCCGAACGGTCACCAAAAATTTAGCATCGTATTCATCGGGCCAATCTTGTTTGTCATCTAATTCTGTGTTATAAAGCAAAGTGAAATTCAGCGTTAGTGTGTGGGTTAAGTGCGTCTGAATATCGCAAACCTTGTAAGACCAGATTATTTGAATCATTAAGAAAAAACTGTAAGTAATTTTAAGATTTTTTATTATTTGTCTGTCGCCTGCCTGCGTACGGGGAATATGTCCAAGCAAGCTTTGTAAGCTTTTCTTTGTTTCAGCGATTTTGTATTAATTTTTTTGTGTTTCTAAGTACATTTTTGTCATTGTCGATCAATTAATTTTGCGTTTATTCGAATCCATTGTGCGACACGGATAGAGTTTTTTGTCAGATTTTTCGCAAATACGGCGATCCAAGAAAAGCATATTGAATAGTAATGCAACGGTGTTATAATGGAAGCAGCAGCGAAAACAAAAGACTTCATCTTGCCGATTCTGCGCTATTCGGTGATGTAATATTCCTTCCTATTATGTATCATTTAATTAAGAATGATCACAATTGGGAGCGAGATGATTTCTCTATCGAGCATTGCGTACAGTGGATACTTACCACTCTTTCTACATTTAAGTTAAGACTGTCGAAAACAAAGGTAAAAATTTTCTTCCTGTCTAACGGATGTGGTTATGATAGTGGTATGTCATAGTAAAAATTTACTTCTCCGTTTAAGAGGAGTTTACGGAAGGAAAAACCATATGTCAAAAAAAAAATTTTTTTAACCTCAAAATATGGTCAAAGCTTCTAATTTTCATGTCTACATCTCAAACGGTTTGAGCGTGCGAAAGCTTCGGTTCCGTCTTTAATAGCTATCCGATCCTGTATATTGTAGCAGCTTGACATGAGTAGAAAGAATAGCTTTACATAAATATACATTTTAAGACCGTTATTAACGCATACCACAAATTCACTATAAAGTGTATTTTGCGACTTTATTCAAGTGTTATTTAATAGTCCTAGATAAATCCATTATAGTAAATAGCACAGAATCTGCTTGGGTCATGAGTGTTATAAGCTAGTGGCGAAGATATAATCCATTTGGTAAGGTCATAAGGTGATTGTTAAAGGTAACAGCTCGTCCGTGGTTAATTAATTTAAGTAACGGATTACAATGTTTTTATCATCAAAAAATTTAAACGTAAATGTAATAACATTTCATGGTACTTATTATTTATTATACAGCCACCTACCTATACGAGTAGTAGGTATGAGGCGTTTTTTAAGTGTCAGCGCCAGTGTCGAGCAAATCATCCATCTATTAAATTAAACTCAATTAAGGTATGTTCAGTTATGTCACCGATCATTCAATTACCACACTTGAACAGACATCCTTAATAGGGTTCAATTCCGCATGACAAATATATCTCAGTCAGAGCTGATAATTCATAATTTAATTCGCCTTATACAAAAACAACATGTATAGTTATGCTGTATGGAAAAGTAAAACCTAGTAGGTACGTACGTAATTGCTAACAACAACAAGGTACCCGCAGGTAAAAGAATTTGCTGGAGCATTGTACAAAGAATAACATGTTAGATAGGGGGTTGTTATTTCGCACAATTTACTTTGTGATTGATAAATTATTACCCGTATATTCATTCTAGTGGCCATTGGAACGTAAGCTAGTGTGACTAAGTGGAAAATACGATAAATAAATCGACCATATAATTTAATTAAGCATAATTAAACGAAGACAATAGTCACTGTTTACGGTCATAATTTAATAGTTTTTCCGGAACATTGTAAGGTTAACAGCGCGGAAAAATGACAGAATTAAATGTTAAAATGTGGTAAGGGTGGGGATCATGTTAACGCACCAAACACTATTCTCTTTCTTCGCGCTTGAAGTAATACGGTGGCGATTACTTTGTCCGGTGAAAGGACTCGTTTGAATTTCAGTTCTGCAGAAAGGTGTCTAAATCTACTAAGAAAAAAATTGGAATCCGTCGAATTCCTTTCCTTTTATATGCAAATGTAAGACAACGTTTAAAAGTTTAAACCTCAAGCACAAAATTATCAAACATATCGCAATTATAAGCACTTGCGATTACTAAAAGGGTAGGTAATAGCACGAAAGCAAACTATTTAAAGGCTTTTAAAAAAGTGAGGATAAAATTTAAATTTATCGATAAATACGAAGGTCTATAGAAGAAACTTCGTTGAATTGTTGAAGTAAAAAGTAGACAGTTATAGATAATAATAATAACTTTATTAATGCCATAGGCATTTTACAAAGTAAAAAGTAAAAAACAAACTTATAAAACACATTAAAATATCAAATACAGAGGGACTGAAAAATTCAACACTCGCACTGAACTCATTGATTAGGCCAGCCATCCGATCCAATGGATTGTTCCGAAATACAGCGTTCGATTGTGCTTAGTTTGCAGTAGGGGCATGGTACGGACGAAACGTTGTGGAACCCTGATGTTAATTTTTGATAAAATATCAGCAGAGTTTAGGTGACCATTCAGTAATTTATACCCGAAAGTCAAAGTAAGAAAGGTCCTTCTTTGTTTACGAGTTTGAATATCGAGGAATATTCCAACATGTTCAGTCGAATCTATATGTATCCCATTTAATGATAGTTTGAACTTCATCATGTGAAAAAAACTCGATTGAATACGCTGTAGGCGATTGATGTGGGAAACATGATAAGGAGACCATATAACGGAACAGTAGTCCAAATGGGATCTCACAAGCGAGAAGTATAGTGTCCTTAGAGCTGTTATACTATGGAAATCGTTACACTGGCGTTTAAGAAGTCCAAGTATTTTACTTGCCTTCGATGTCATTTGGTCGTAATGGAGGTGAAAATTTAATTTCTTGTCCAGTATGATGCCTAAGTCTCTGATGGAGTCGACACTACCTAATAACTCATTGTTTAACACCCAGAGTTCTAATTGCACCGAGTCTTGTTGTAGCATTGCAGTGTCATTGATATCACCAATAGCCCTGTATATCTTGAGATCATCGGCGAAAAGCGCATGTTCAGATATAAATACTGATAAAATTTAGTTAATGAAAGCCAGGAACAGTGGAGGACCAAGATGAGAGCCTTGTGGTACTCCTGATCTTATTACGAAGGAATTTGACCAGGTATCTTCAATGAGGACCTGTGCTGTACGGCTACTCAAGTAATTGTAAATCCATTTAAGCGCAGCTTCCCCCACACCATACTTCCTTAACTTGAAGATCAATATTTTTTGGTTTACTCTGTGAAAGGCTTTCGATAAATCGGTATAAATTGAGTGTACATCATTGCTTTTGTCCAGAGAAACAAAGATGTAATTCAGATACGAGAACAGATTTGTTTCAACCGATCTTCCGCTGATGAAACCATGTTGGTTGCTTGATAACACGTTACCAAGGGCCTTGGTGAACTGTGAGGCTTCAAGTAGCTTTTGTATTGCAGATTGAATTGTAATGGGTCTATAGTTCCCGAAATCAGATTTGGGACCGCTCTTATAAACAGGAACAATCTTCGAATTCTTCCATCTGGACGGAACAACACCTTCTTTCAACGAAGATGTAAATGTACTACCCTTCACATTCATTTTAGCAAGCCTATCTTGAATGTCTTGTGCCGTAACTACAAATTTGACCAAGTCTATTTGATCAAGCGTGGCGAACGAATGACCAGATTGAATACTTTCCACAAAGGCA